TCTACTTTAAGTATATTTACTGATAGCGGAAATATAACGTGCTTTAGAATATTTTCCACGACCCTGTTCTTTTGTTCGTTCCTACACATAACTTGTTTGAAGAACAATACCCTCCCTCTATCCCCCTAAAAATATTTTCCAGCACATTCTGCATCTTTAAAGTTTAGTAATAGATAAAGTGTGCCAAACAGGAAATACACTGCTTCATACATCTGTTTTGTCCTTCTAGGATCATCAGCGATGCCGGGAGTGTAATGTTGGAAATCCATGTAGATCTAACAAACTGTTGAAACAGAAGGGAAGGTGGGCGTATGAAAATCCTTAATGCATGAATTGTTTACCCGCACTTATATTCCTGACGTTGTGAAAAAAAGAGGCAAAATCTAATTTAAATATATTGTAATTACTGATTTGAATATGACGTAACATTTGGACATAGTGGAGTTTAAAATGATTTGTTCTGCCACTTGTTTTAGCCAACCGTCCTCCCGCTAACACACTTTCCTATAAAGAAAATTTGGAAATCGGAAACCTTGGTGTAGACTCATTTGCATATCTCGTGCTTTGCGTCAAATAAATTTCCGTGCATTAACCAATTGAAAGGATTCAAATACATTATTAAGTTGTAGAAATCACAGCTCTATTTTAGTAAATAACCTGACATTTCTTTAGAATTTTAGATTGATTATTTTTTTATGAAACATTTTCCTTACATCCGTCAGGTTAACGTAAGCGTTATCTCCCCTACGCAATGGTATTCTTTGTCAAATAAAATTCCGTGCATTAGTCAAATGTAACTTACCATTTTACCTTATGTTACATATAAGATGCCTCTATTAAAATTAAAAACTTTTGACAGTGAATAATAGCTTTGTACAATATCAAAATGAGCCGTACAAAAATATATTGTTTGAGGAAAAAAGTGATGCTTGCAGGACTCGAACCATCGAAGACGAAAACGTCGATACTCGTTTGTAAGTGATACCTACCGGTTTAGCCCACTACACCACTCCATCATATATTGAAAAATCGAGTTTTTATACGTCAAGACAAAATCATGTGACTGCATTTTATTATGTAAACAGAATTATTTCAATGTTGTTAATGTAACAGAATGTACGATTTTGAGAGCTTGAATGCTCGTGGTATGAATGTGTATATGAATGGGCATTAAACTATGTATGTCTTAAAAAGGAAGTGTAGCGTCAATTTCCTGTAAGTCATGAATAATGTCCCCGCTATATATAGATCTCATGAAACTACTGAGACGAGGTTATTTCAAACTCCCAATTTTACCGTCTTAAAAAGGAAGTGTAGTGTCCATTTCCTGCCATCACTGATCCGATACGTTATGTATATCTTTGTATGCCTATGATCGTAAGTTCGAAATACGAATCAACAGTAAACGATATAATTCGTTTACCGTAAAAAGGAGATGTGATGATGCACCAAATATAGGACAAAGTAGATGACTTTATCCTGGTTTCACTGCATAAAATGATGACGGGATTGTGCAGTTACCAGAACAATAGCGCGTGCAAATTGTTGTTTTGTTTTTCCTTGGTAGGTAAAAGGAAATATATATTTCCCCTACAAAAACGAGGATGCACATGTGCAGTGTGGTAGAAATAATGTTTCTGGATATGACAACTCCCGCGCGCAGGATACATGAACTTCACGAGATAAGCGGCTGGCCTACATATATAAATTGTACATATATGGCCCATTTGAAGACTTTTTTGCTAGCGGATTTATATAAATCTTATGATTGTCCTTTTTATCTTTTTTTTCTTCTTTTTGTTATGAAATGAATTTTAGCGATATAAATGAAGTTGAAGTAGGCTATTTATATTTCAATGTAAACAATTGCGGATGAAGTTAAATCATGAAATGTATACATACATGTATAGTTAGCTTATTTAAACAAAGTGAAAAAAAATTGTAAAGGAACACAGTAAGCAAGTTCGTAAAGGCTAATATGATACTAAAAATTTGATAATTTCTATTGTTATCGTGAAAAACGTTAGAGGAAGTTTGCATTATACTCTGGTAGACCTCAAACTATATTTACTAACACTGCTTTCCTACTTGTATTTAATTTATGCTGGCGTTAGATAATTTTAAATGGTTAACAGATTGTCATAATTCCCTATGATTAATTGTCGATGATTTGTTCTTTGTCTACATGTATCACCATTTGCTAGCTATTTGTATCCGGTTCACATTCCTAAAACATTAAACTAAACAACATCAGTCTAGTCGTTATCAAATATATACTTTTAACATGATTTACAGTATGACAAGACAATGATAACTCTATCTCTAGCAAAGTTTATGACAAAGTAATCTTCATGAACGTTAATTTCTTTAACTGTGGAAGTAACCAAACAGCTTCCACTGCATATTGAGTCTAAATGTCACAGTTTATTTGCTACTTCATCACCCGTCCTAATCGTCAGATCTTTCCTGTTAGATGTGCCCTGTTTATCAATACATTACTTATCCAGAGTTTCCTACGGGAGATGATTCAATATACACTGAAGCAAAGTCATACATGCTATATCCTAAAATGATTTCATAATACTAGTATACGTTGATTTCATTATTTCCCGCAAATCGGAGCTATCTTCAGTGATATGATATTGTTGAAATGACGTCATCGCAATGCTGACATGAAGACATACATTTATTTTGATAGGAACATTCCCCAGTCTTTACTCTAGGGAAGGATAGAAACATCTTACCCAAACCGGAAGTGTGAATATATATGTCTAATAGGATTGAACAGCTTGTCATCTCTTATGGGGAGATAACCTCGGGCAGAATAGCACGCGCTAAATTGTGACGTCATAACAACTGAATTTGGATTGTGATATCATAAATATTTAATGGTGAATATTTATTATCCACATGTGCTTCATCTTACGAATTTGATTACTGTCGGTTGAGTTGAGACAGAAATAAAAGGATGTTGGCAACATAAGTATCCCTACCTTGAGGATGAAACAGAGAAATATCAAACCCTCACAGTGATCAATAGGTTTTCTTCCCCTCGGCAATATCGTTTTGTGAAACAAAATACAGCATGCCTCGAGTTGGAGATTTCGCTGTGACACCCTTCAGGCAACGGGAGATTCAGACTTTCCAGGATGTGACGGGAGATAGCATGACTGGTACCTTGTGTGGCACAGGAACCACATTACCTTATAGTAAACCTAGTTTTGCATCCGAATTTCCTAGAGAGTATGTAATGCTTTTCTTTTTGTTCTTTCAGTAGCATCAGTTCTGTGTGTTATCTTTTCATTTCCAATGTCGGTTCTAATTTTGTGTTTGTATGACACTCCAGTATACATTGCAACTCTAATATGTTTTGTCCTTGTGTGTTGACGATGTGATATATTTTGTTAATTTGTATAGATGTTTTGGTATATTTTCCATATTGTGTTGAAACTGTGGAATAATTTGTCTATTTGTGTAGACGTTGTGGTATATTTTGTTCTTATGTGTTTACGATGCTATATTTTGTTTTCTTTTTTTGTGTATGTTGGCGCCGTGGTATATTTTGCCTTTAAGCTGAAGATGTGACATATACTGTCCATGTGTGTTGACGATGTGGTATTTTTTCCTTTTGTGTTGACGTCTTGGTATATTTCTCAGTGTCCGTTGAATCTGTGGTATTTCTGCTATCTTTTACTTACTATAAACAAAAATTGACACCATTTATTAGTTTGAGAGAACTTCAAATTTACATTGTCTACAAACAGTTGTATAAGAGTTTAATAATAAAGTATTTAAAGTCAAATATACCTATAACATATGCGCTTTACCATAGTGGATACATAAGGCAATCTTCTCTACCTTTATGCACATATGTATACATTTTTTCTTAATTATCAGCAAACCAAAACAAAAAATATATAATAAACCTTTGTTTATTTATCATTTTCATTCTAATACAAACTAAATGAGATTATTGTCGTAATCTTGTCATACAAGTGTACATACTACGTGGACAGGAAAAGTGCTGCAACCATAACGAAAAAATAAACACCACAGACACCTTTTGGTAACGAGATAGTGGAACCTGAAATACACAAAATAAAATGCATACATTAAAAGTTGGAAAGTGAGGTGAGGTACCGTTGATAATCTTATATCAGTTTACACCATATTACTGTGCATTGGACGCAAATTTACATAAGCATGGACAGTTTTTTCGGACTTTCATTATCAAACTATCAATAAAAAATTACATTAACTGTATGAACGTATCAGAACACATGCAATGCCAGACAATCAATCATTAACCTGGAGTATAATATGTGTAAAAAAGTATAATAAACGTTATTCTCACCGCTATTATTTCCAAAACTTTCAGTATCGCATAACCCGGAATCGCAATTTGATGAACTGCTAGCTTGACTGGATTCGGTGGGTTCTCTCTCGGTGTCTAAACCAGAGGATGTTGCTGCTATCAGTGTTGATGTCAAACTAGAAGATGACGTCGCTGTTTTTGGTGGTGGCATTGTTGTTGTAGTTTGTATTGTTGTTGTTTTGGGTGGTGGCATTGTTGTTGTAGTTGTTATTGTTGTTGTTTTTGGTGGTGGCATTGTTGTTGTAGTTGTTATTGTTGTTGGTGATGGTGGTGGCATTGTAGTTGTAGTTGTTATTGTTGTTGCTGGTGGTGGTGGCATTGTAGTTGTAGTTGTTATAGTTGGTGGTGGTGGTGGTGTCACTGTTGTCGTTGTTGTCGTTGTTGTTGATGTAGAACTAGAAGTGACTGCTGCCGGCGTTGTAGAACTAAAAGACGGTGCTTTTGTTGTTGTGGTCACAATAGAAGAAGGTATTATAGTTGTCGATGTTGTGTTTGATATCGCACTAGCAGAGGCTACAAGTGAACAATTTATATTTAATTAACAACATTAGTCAATATTATCACGTTCCAAACTTGGAATATTTGCATAAAGCATTTGCACGCTAAATGAAAAGGATTAACTTACTACAATTGGAGAAGTTGATTTGATGAATGGCCACTGTTACAGATGGTTGTCCGCCATTTTGTGATGACGTTGTGGCATGACCGGAGGCAGTAGTTTTTGCAGTTGTAGGAGGCATTGCTGCGGGATAGTTACAGTTTTTAATGGATTCGTCCCAAAGTAGTCCTGAAGAGCAACAGTACCGGAAGTCCACACCAGTAGAAGAACACTGGTAGTAACAATCAGGCACACAGGGGTCTGGAAGGAACTCATACGCAGGACATACACTATGATCTGGAAAAAACATATGTATAATCTTAGCATCTGTATAGTGCAGCTAATGTTTTTTTTGCAAACTGTTTGTATTACAAACTTTTTAAAGTGCAATCACATTTGTGTGTCTTGCATTCATCTTTCAACAGCATGAAGTAGTTAACTGCATTATATTCAATTTAAATTGAATGAAAAGTGAAGCTGTTAGTTGTTCAGTCGTGCTTTTATACATGCAAAACTATTTATTGTAACAGTAGAACAACAAAATGCTTGTTAAAATCCTAATTTTAATGTACCAGTTGTAATTTAATGTCTTGAGTTATACGTTTGAAATAGAAAATAATATCTTAATCACTTTCAAAAGAATTACCCTCCGACGGGAAGCTATGCTAGACATAATGTTCGAACAACAGAAGTGAATTAAGAGTCGTCTTACAAAGTAAACAATGTAATGAATACATTTAAGTCATTACAACTATAAAAATATTCTTCAAATTAAAATTAAGCGTAATGTTAACGAACTTCGATTATTACATGGTCTACAATCGATGAGGAAATATTTTGACTTACGACATGCTGGGTCGTACTGGATGAGGTGTGGGTAGTTACAGTTCTTTATAAAATCATCCCACAAAGTTCCGTCAGAACAACAGACGTGGTAGGCTGTACCGTGAGCACAGTTGTAGTAGCACTGTGGATCACACTGGTCAGCGGTAAATACGCCATGTGTACAAGACGAAGGCACTACAGCAGATAATTATATTTTATACAAGTAAAAATGTTATATTAGTTTGGAAATGAAAGCAAGGCATCACATGACAAATGTTTGCATACTTAAAAAACAAAGGATTGCACAAATGGAAGAACTACAAATTATGTTGTTTTAGAAAAGTAAAGTACAAACTGAGCAGGAGAGGCAATTTAAAAACAAACCTTTCTGTATACAAATAATATATAAAGTAGCTACAGTAAAATAGTTCTTTAGTTTATGTTCATTTTAAAACAAGTGCTCATTTTGTTAAGGGGAGGGAGGTGTTTTTGAGGGTCATGATGTTTTTCGATTGGTCAATAACGCGATATTGATATCAATAATTAACAGACGACAACATAGAAACACAATGTACCGTCACAGTTGGGAATGTTGTAAGGAGGCGTCGTCGCTACCGGTACAGTCATCTGACAGTGTTCCTCGTCTTCATTCCACGTGTAACCGGACTGACAGCAGTGTTCTATATTGCCTCCATGGCAGCATTGGAACACACAGGACGGGTCACACAGAGATGATACAAGTAGTCCGTCTGGACACACGGATGGTTCTGTTTTAACGAAGACGACCAATAATATTAATAGCCAAAACAAACCATTGGCACATAGATGCAATATATATAACATTCTACTGTAAAGATACTTTTGACAATTCCGTTAGGTCGAGAGACAAAGCAGTTATATCAGTATTTTACCGTGTCATCTTACCGTAAGCGACATTATCTTTTCCATCAGTTTTTTAAGAAACTAAAGCAGATCAATGAACTGTTTCACTTATGTTTTAAAACAACTTTTGGTGCTCCGTTTATTATTTGCATACCGCAATTGTTTGAGGCCGACGTCGGTGTGCTTGTTATACTTGTTGTACTAGTTGGTGACGTCATTAGAGTTGCAGGCACACTTGTTGGTCCAGTCTGCATTGTCACTGGCGCACCTGTCGATTATTGATTGACATCGATTGTCAATTCATCAAATGAAATCAAATATCCTTCATATTGAAGAAATGTCTACATATTTGTGAGATACAGCATACCTTTTCTCTGTAAGTAGTCAAAATACTATAGTGTACGGGTGTCTAAAATTACAACATTACTCTGTTGAATAGTGTGAAATTGTTTCGTTTATTGTCATTACCTTACGTGTAATCAAACGATCAATGAAAGTAAACAGTGGCTTCATATTTCAATGATTAACAAGGAGAAGTATATATATTTATTTCATGACCAGCTATACTGATAGATCCTGGGTTTGATTTAAAACAAATATATATATGTGTAACTGCTTATTTCTCATATTTTTAACTTATCGCAATTTATCAAATCAAAGTACGAAACAACTTTCAGTTCGAAAGTTAATTAAAATTCGGTTTATAATAATATTTATAGCATAAGAATTCAATTAGATATGATATTTTCTTGAGAATCCAATCAAAGATAGAAGAAACAACTTACCAGCTTGAAATCAATAAATCTTTCTATAAATAAGTCGCTTACCTAACCATTTTAGAAGCGTTTATATTAATTTTAAAGAAGTTATCCTGCTAATTGATCTGGTTATCCGAATCGTTTATTGTTTCTGGTATATTTCCTTAAATGTTATTTTGTTCATTAACGATGTTTCCATGTATTTACAGGATTCAAATCTAACTTATCTGTGATAGATTGTTTAATAATACTGATAATATCGCTATAGAATAGTTTGATACTACTTCATTAAAAATAGATAAAATCCTAATATTGTTTATGCATTTTAATTTCAGATTATCGGTTACTTACTGCAATCTGAAAAGATGATCGAATGAAACGCGGATGTTCCGGTTGTTTGTCCGCCATTTTGTGATGACGTAGTGGCCTGGCCGGAGGCAGTATTTTTTGCTGCAGTTGTAGGAGGCATTGCTGCGGGATAGTTACAGTTTTTAATGGATTCGTCCCAAAGTAGTCCTGAAGAACAACAGTACCGGAAGTCCACACCAGTAGAGGAACACTGGTAGTAACAATCAGGCACACAGGGGTCCGGAAGGAACTGATACGCTGGACAAACACTATGATCTACAAATCAAATTAGTTTATCAACATTTATGTTCGTTACATATTAGTTTTGTGATTAATAAATGACTGTTGAACACTGTTACCTTGACTAATGATTTGACTAATGAGGGCAATCTCTTTAACCAGACACTTTGATACGATCGAAAACGACTACATGTATCATGACAAATGGATCTATTCACCTTTCTCTAAAATCGTGGAGAGACTATAGTGATTGCGACTTACGGCAAGCTGGATCGTACTGGATGAGGTGGGGGTAGTTACAGTTCTTTATAAAATCATCCCACAAAGTTCCGGCAGAACAACAGACGTGGTAGGCTGTACCGTGGGCACAGTTGTAGTAGCACTGTGGATCACACTGGTCAGCGGTAAATACGCCATGTGTACAAGACGAAGGCACTACAGCAGAAACACAATTATGTAAAGATACCATGGATAGGATAGCACATCATGAATGTAATACAATTGTATGCCATGCATATCACTTAAGCAGGCTACACCAACGGATAGGCGAAAGTGTATGGTAAAGGACGAGAGCACATTGGAAGAGAAACGTTTCTTTTTTATTTTCTTGAAAAATATGTTAATTAACTATTAATTTTCATGGATTACACCTAGGTGGTTACGTAAAAGCAAACAATTAACAACACAATATACCGTCACAGTTAGGAAGATTGATAGAAGCTGTTGTTGCCAATGTTCCTGTCATCTGACACTTCTCTTCGGCATCATTCCAGGTGTAACCGGACTGACAGCAGTGTTGTATGTTGCCTCCACTGCAGCATTGGAACACACAGGACGGGTCACACAGAGACGGCACGATATGTCCCGCTGGACACACTGTTGGTTCTGTATTAATAAACATGGCTTCAGAAATCTGACCCATTTAAACCTGTCATTACAAAGTGTAATAACTTTTTAACCCTTTTTATCCTTATGTACACATACCTTTAGGACAACTCTATAATGCATTGATCTGGATGAGTCCTCGAGGTCTACAGTGGTGAAAGGATTAGTAATATCTAATATGCATGTTTATAACTTGTTAAACAACGTGATTTTTCAAATATGTGTGGTATGTCTTACGTTTGTTACCAATAATTACAATAACTTTTCGAGGACACACTGAAAAATGCATATTTTTAGCGGTAATCATATTTGATCGCTTTTAACATTTTATATTTTGCGCCTAATTATGGTTTTGTGAATTGAAAATCATATATCGTTTCCTATACGTATATTGTGAATGCGCAAATACATCATTGAGCTAACCTGTTAAAATTCGACCTTGCGCAAAAATTAGAGTGCTTTGAAATATGTACGTGTATGATATATTATTTTATCAAAAACATACCGCAGTTGTTTGCAGAGGTCGTTGGTGAATTGGCTGGTTGAGTTGTCGGTAACGTTGACATTGTTGCATTTACATTTGTTGCAGTGGAGTTTGTTGTAGTATGTTCACTTGAAGGTTGAGTCATCCTCGTTGTATGTTTACTTGTTGATAGCCTCGAACTGGTAGCAGCAGTCGAAGGTGACGAATTGGTTGTAGACGTTAAGCTTGAGGTAACTATACTTGTAATGACTGTAGGTGTTGTAGTATGTTCACCTATCAAAGGTAATGTAAATGAAAATGTTCGTGATTATGAAGATACAAAGCATATATCACGTTAAAAGAATATAATATATGATCAAGCGGTTAATAAAAAAAACAGTATTGGGGAGGGGTAGGGGGATGGAATTCACCGTTAAGAGTAAAACCTTTTGTGAGCATTAATAACAAATAAGTGATTATTTTATTAATATAATTAGTACAAAGTAAATTATACACATGCAATGCATAAATATGAATTACAGATAAAAGATTTATTTTTTCTAAATTAGAAAATTATTTTGAATGTCTTAATATTACGAAGAATGGCAAATGTACCATACAATAAAAGTGGTTATCTAATTTTAAATTCAGTCATATATAACATTAAACATTTCAACGTCTACAAATGTAAATTGAATAATTTGGAATTCAGTGTTGAAGTTACAAAAGCTGTAAATAACGGTACTTTTATAATATTTTGATGGAGTATGATTAAAAACTCACCAGTAGTAGATGGTATATTTGTTGACTGATTGGTGGTGGTCGGGGTCACTTGAGTAGCCATAGATTGGTGTTGTGATATTGTTGAAGCAGTAGTTGATGATTCTAAAATGGAATGAACATTTGATGCATAGTGTCACAAGCATATCACATATTCGTTTACGTCAATATATGCCAGTAGTTATGTATGTAAATATATATACAGTAAAACCCCACTAATTCGAAGTCGTGGGACCAGATAAATAGTTCGATGAAAACATGGCATTCCACGAATCCGAGGTTTGTCCGACAAAGTTATGTTTTGACCAGGTTGGACAGCAGACAGAACGAACACTGTAAATATCGCGATTAGTAGATGATAGATGTAAGAAAAGTTTTATAAAGATAACAACATTTAATAAGATACAAAATTGCTTAAAAATGAAAACATTTAGCCATATGTATCAATAAAAGAGTAAAATTAAAAACAAATTGCCAATGTAACGTACATCATGTACTTGTCGTTACCGGTAGACATAGTCCACCATATTATATTCGGCTACGTTAATTTTACAAAATATCAAAACGAAAGAAACTCTTCGAACGTTTTGATTGTTAGTAAATCTTGAATCCCTGTTATTATAATGTTGATTGACAACGGAATTAACAACCAAGACGTATTCAAGATTCAATATCTTTAAAGATGATCGTTAATCAAGTAAGCGATTTCCGCTTAATATTGTAATGCCTAAATATGGTTTTACGCACCCAGTGAATGTAACACTTCCGCTTATATATCGATGACAAACATCGTGGGGGAAATCATAAACATGCACACAACATGATAATGCAGCTACAACAGGGTAACGGTACAGGTAACCGTATTTAATGGCTGCCTATAATACTTTAATTATCTGACGTCCTGCCGACAACTGCATTAACGCAATGAACGTTAACTGCAGTATGTGTCTCCTGGCATGTCGATGGCTCGCATTATGTGATATACACGAGGCGACTACCTGTTCGACGAATGGATAGATTAAATACTAAAGAATTGAGTGGTCGGGGATAAATTCGAGAACACGGGGTATTCGATCAATGGCAGTTCGAATATTCTTTGTAAATTAACGTAGGATTATATAAAAAGTTCGAGTTCCAGCGAACTATTCAAGGAACTTGAGTAATGCGATTTCGAGTAAGAGGTGTTTCACTGTAAATATAATAATGTTTATTATAACACAAGAATAACGTGAAAGTCGGTTTCACGGCAAAGTCGTTAAAATCTATTGAGTATAGCTAAGAACTCACCAGTGGTAGATGGTCCATTTGTTAAAAGATTTGTGGTGGTTGGGATGCCTTGAGTAGTCATAGATGGTTGTTGTGATATTGTTGAAGCAGTACTTGATGATTCCAAGACGGATTTCAAAACAGTCATCATGGGATTTACTCCGAGTCCGCATATATTGTTATGGTCGTCCAAATCCATTGCCCAAACCATTGAACCTCCGAGGCCCATAGACTTTATATATTCGGCCTTAGACAAATACAAATTGAGACAAATTAAATAGTCTTACCTCCTAAAGGCCAAACCATCGAACCTCTGAGGCCCATAGACTTTACATATTCAGACTTAGACAAATACAAATTGAGGCAAATAAAATAGTCTTACCTTATAAAGGCGCAAGATGGTGGGAACGATTTAAACTTTATAATATGTTATACATAGGTATACACTATGTACATGTATGTATAAAAATGTGAAGAGAAGTTAAGAAATGAAAAATACCATATTATTACACGGATAGGTTGACCGTAATCGGTAATGAAGTGATCACTTACTCACCTTTATCGTAAAACTCTGGACGTCATCGAATCCGACCCATTGGCTACCACTGTAAGCATACGGAACCTGATGCTCGTTGTGCCAAATTTTAGTCCATCCGCCGTTTTCAATTCTATCACATATCTACAAAACGAAATAAAATAGTATCATAACATTTTAACATTTACAGTAATTAAGGAACCATTCTAATCCTTTTCTAACATGGCCTTTATTAACTAACCTCAAAATAGCCTAGATAGCCTGCTTCGTCTGTGTATGTCCCTTTGGTGCCCGCACCAATAACTGCGCTTCCCATGGCTACGTCGGATGAGCTAACCAGCGTAAATGAACGACCGTATAAAGCAAGTCCCAGGACTAACTTCTCAGGAGGAGTCCCATTGGATAGCCAGTGTTGGATTCCGGCATTCTACAATAGAAATAATATATATCAAACCGTTTTTCGTCATTTCAAGTTTACTCATATCACAAGTTAAGATTCTTCGGACAATTTTTGTCAAAATAATCTTATCGTACGACATAGTTACGAATATATTATTGATCACATATCAAAAAATGAAGCAGTGTCCTACTTAAATAAAACCTACTCACGCACCTGATTCTTATACAGTTCGTTTCCATTTTCCCCTGTACGTTCATACAACGGACTGTTGTGTCCTGCCGTAGCATCCCACGTTCCATGAAAATCATACGCCATCAGGTTGATAAAGTCGACATACCTACAATCATAAAAACCAATACAATTTTTAATTATTCTCAAAATAGCACTTTCAATGATTAACTGATGAACTATCAATTGATTCAAGATTTAATTCATGAGTTCTTAAAATATCGTTAATCTTGACGTCTTATGCAAACATTTTCTATTGATGTCCAACAATTGCCTTCATGGAAGTTTATACCTAATTTTCTTTATGGAACGATTGCACCATTTGTTAAATGCTTAGTTGTACAGAAGTTCAATCCTTCTCTTGAAGACATATCTTTCTTACTGTGACACAAGGCCGATTTCATAAGCTGTTTCAACTGTTTCTTTACTTGCAGATACGGCTGCAGAAAGAAGCAAAGCCGGCCGATTTGTTCTGGAGCCTTCTTTATCGAATTCCTGGCGTAAAACCTGGAGGAAACATAAAATAGGGAACGTGTTGAGTCGCTGACAGTTTTGTACAGTAAATTGGCAGCATAAATAATGATGGAAGACTTTATGCAAAGTAATTTATTTAACAGAATGAAAAAAAGAATATTGATTAAAAGAATGTAATCGCTAAATCCCGTGTCACATTTCTATGTGTTGAATATATTTACCATCGTGAGCTGAGTGAATTTTTCTCTGTCCTCAGCAGGGCTTCCTCGATGAGCCGGATATTCCCAATCCAAATCAAGACCATCAAAGTTATAATTCCTCAAAAATGTGATGGCATTATTTGCAAATTCTTCAATATTCGACAGCGATGAAACCATAGCGGAAAACCTAGACACACCATGGTTATAACCTCCAACTGCGAGCATCACTTTCAGGTTGGGGTTCTCCATCTTCTTACTCATCACAACACCATATTGGACTACAGAGAAGAAAATCATTATTTGTCAACGCGTTGAAATGAACTGTTGCTCTTTAATTGTTTATCTTACTTTGATCTGAATGCTTTTTATGCTCACCTTCATCGTTCCATTCATAGGTAGCAAGACCGTTTCCACTCATCTGTGCAAAAGCGTACATGATGTGAGTACAAAGGTTGGCATCGATATTGGCAGCTGTAAACGTCGCTGGATTTGCTCGATATTGCGCCCAGTTGGTAAAATAGCATACCCTCTTGTAAGCTATGCTACCTGCACAATTAGAAGGCAGAATGAACATTTATTTAAGAGTGTTAAACCACATTATCTACTCCTTTTCGTCAATATATGCTAGTAGTCATATATCCAAACATATATAATCATCCTTATTACACAAGAATAGTTACATTCAATAACGTGACAGTCAGTCTCGAGTTTAACCGTGAATTCATTATTTATGTAGGGTAAGGTTAAGCACTCACCATTAGTAGATGGTCCGTTTGTAAACATATTGGTGGTGGTTGGGATCCCTTGAGTAGTCAAAGATGGTTGTTGTGATATTGTTGAAGCAGTACTTGATGATTCCAAGACGGATTTCAAAGCAGCCATCATGGGATTTTCTCCGAGTCCGCATATATTGTTATGGTCGTCCAAATCCATAGCCCAAACCATTGAACCTCCGAGGCCCATAGACTTTATATATTCGGCCTTAGACAAATACAAATTGAGACAAATTAAATAGTCTTACCTCCTAAAGGCCAAACCATCGAACCTCTGAGGCCCATAGACTTTACATATTCAGACTTAGACAAATACAAATTGAGGCAAATAAAATAGTCTTACCTTATAAAGGCGCAAGATGGTGGGAACGATTTTAACTTTATAATATGTTATACATAGGTATACACTATGTACATGTATGTATAAAAATGTGAAGAGAAGTTAAGAAATGAAAAATACCATATTATTACACGGATAGGTTGACCGTAATCGGTAATGAAGTGATCACTTACTCACCTTTATCGTAAAACTCTGGACGTCATCGAATCCGACCCATTGGCTACCACTGTAAGCATACGGAACCTGATGCTCGTTGTGCCAAATTTTAGTCCATCCGCCGTTTTCAATTCTATCACATATCTACAAAACGAAATAAAATAGTATCATAACATTTTAACATTTACAGTAATTAAGGAACCATTCTAATCCTTTTCTAACATGGCCTTTATTAACTAACCTCAAAATAGCCTAGATAGCCTGCTTCGTCTGTGTATGTCCCTTTGGTGCCCGCACCAATAACTGCGCTTCCCATGGCTACGTCGGATGAGCTAACCAGCGTAAATGAACGACCGTATAAAGCAAGTCCCAGGACTAACTTCTCAGGAGGAGTCCCATTGGATAGCCAGTGTTGGATTCCGGCATTCTACAATAGAAATAATATATATCAAACCGTTTTTCGTCATTTCAAGTTTACTCATATCACAAGTTAAGATTCTTCGGACAATTTTTGTCAAAATAATCTTATCGTACGACATAGTTACGAATATATTATTGATCACATATCAAAAAATGAAGCAGTGTCCTACTTAAATAAAACCTACTCACGCACCTGATTCTTATACAGTTCGTTTCCATTTTCCCCTGTACGTTCATACAACGGACTGTTGTGTCCTGCCGTAGCATCCCACGTTCCATGAAAATCATACGCCATCAGGTTGATAAAGTCGACATACCTACAATCATAAAAACCAATACAATTTTTAATTATTCTCAAAATAGCACTTTCAATGATTAACTGATGAACTATCAATTGATTCAAGATTTAATTCATGAGTTCTTAAAATATCGTTAATCTTGACGTCTTATGCAAACATTTTCTATTGATGTCCAACAATTGCCTTCATGGAAGTTTATACTTAATTTTCTTTATGGAACGATTGCACCATTTGTTAAATGCTTAGTTGTACAGAAGTTCAATCCTTCTCTTGAAGACATATCTTTCTTACTGTGACACAAGGCCGATTTCATAAGCTGTATCAACTGTTTCTTTACTTGCAGATACGGCTGCAGAAAGAAGCAAAGCCGGCCGATTTGTTCTGGAGCCTTCTTTATCGAATTCCTGGCGTAAAACCTGGAGGAAACATAAAATAGGGAACGTGTTGAGTCGCTGACAGTTTTGTACAGTAAATTGGCAGCATAAATAATGATGGAAGACTTTATGCAAAGTAATTTATTTAACAGAATGAAAAAAAGAATATTGATTAAAAGAATGTAATCGCTAAATCCCGTGTCACATTTCTATGTGTTGAATATATTTACCATCGTGAGCTGAGTGAATTTTTCTCTGTCCTCAGCAGGGCTTCCTCGATGAGCCGGATATTCCCAATCCAAATCAAGACCATCAAAGTTATAATTCCTCAAAAATGTGATGGCATTATTTGCAAATTCTTCAATATTCGACAGCGATGAAACCATAGCGGAAAACCTAGACACACCATGGTTATAACCTCCAACTGCGAGCATCACTTTCAGGTTGGGGTTCTCCATCTTCTTACTCATCACAACACCATATTGGACTACAGAGAAGAAAATCATTATTTGTCAACGCGTTGAAATGAACTGTTGCTCTTTAATTGTTTATCTTACTTTTATCTGAATGCTTTTTATGCTCACCTTCATCGTTCCATTCATAGGTAGCAAGACCGTTTCCACTCATCTGTGCAAAAGCGTACATGATGTGAGTACAAAGGTTGGCATCGATATTGGCAGCTGTAAACGTCGCTGGATTTGCTCGATATTGCGCCCAGTTGGTAAAATAGCATACCCTTTTGTATGCAATACAACCTATAAATTTTGTCAAAACAATATTACTATTTTTTTTAATTTTCAAATTAAGCAGATGGTTGAACAACATAAACTTATCATCACCAGTTATCATAGAATGTGAATAAATCATTCTATCGTACTTGTGTTATAACTGGCGCTTTGTTGTATCATCAGCCGTCGTTTTCATACGACAATCAATTGTTGGAGTTGAATAATTTTATTATGAAAAGCTTCCTCATTTCCTTAAAGTGAACTAAAATGATTGAATAAGGTTGCATTTGACAATGAAAGAGTGCATTCCCCAATTTTTGGCATTGTATCAAAACTGGAATAATGGCGATATTCAATCCCTGTTTTCCTGAAGTATGTACCTACTTCCTTAACCCTACACTTCAGAGTAAACCATCTTCATACCGGCAGCATAATTGAAGTAAATCTGTTTTTTACAATGTATCTCAATCCTAGAATTACATGCTATACAGTAAATGCCCTGCCTTCAATACAAGTTATGCCCTCTCTACTCGATGCATTATCTGTTGTTCGTCTGCTGGATACCGTATGAAATATATGCTATTTCTCTTATACGATTATACTGCTCATTATATTAGTGCCTTGTGGTTTTGTTGGCACTGCCTGAGTTCTCGGTGCGAGGACTTGACAATACTTGGATTAGACCATATACATGGCATGTGTCATCGATGAAGCAGAAGACGCTTACCCTTCCGGAACACCTGGTCTTATTCATCTTGAACTTTTCCATGGGTTCCCATGAAATGTTTTATTTTGTTCATATTTTGCCCTAGGTTTATCAACTTTGAGTTCGAACTATGGTTTTGTTGACACTTCGGTATTCTCTTGTTGTTTTATGCCCGGATGTCTGAACAAGGCATAATGTACCCTCCAAACCCCCTAATCCACACTTTCTCTAATAATGGTACAAATTGTTGTAAATGGCTACAGTTAAATGCTTCCAAACAACAGGAGTTTCCAAAGACAACGAACAAAATGGCTCCTAAATTGTTAATAAACATCAATGAAAGTGAGCGTTGCAATGTCAACATCGTCGATACTCCAGGGGTTACGCTCACCTACACTTTCTGCTCCCCTGGAATATATCATAGCAAATTTGAAAGATCTGTATGCTCCACCTTGTGGATGAGACGAGAAGACAATTTGGGTAAAATTGGCTGCCTTTGCTGTCGGATGTCGCTCTTCTGTATTTTTCAAAGGACATGCATTCGCCTTGCGATTGGTCGGATTTTGTTACGTCAGACCAATCAAATAGCCACCCGTGCGCCTTTAATTTTTTCTATAATACAGCCCAGGGGTACAGAGAGCAAAAGTGAGCGTAACCCCTGAAGTATCGATGCAGTGTCACCAACCCCTGACAAGCATACCCTTGTAAATAAAACAAGCCCAAGGATGATAGGGATGTAAACATATCCAAACTGACCAGTCATTCAATAGAATTATAATCAAACAAAGACTTTTTAACCCACAATGATACGAATTAGCATTCCATCGCCTACTACACGACATGATGTTGATGTGCTGTACCGGTCATTACCTGTGATAGAAGCACACAGTATCACCATGAGGGTTCGACGTAGGGACATCTAAAAGCAAAGACAAAAACAATCATGTTCTCTTTAGCAGTGCTATGGTATTGTATATCATCATTTGATGTTAAAGGAAAATTGTAAAAAGAAATCTGTTTAAGTCTTATTTATAACAATACCGTAATTATCCTGATACTCTTCTCACCACAAGTTTTTTTCATATTTCAATACAGTTTTGTACATTTATTATTACATGTAGAATGAATTTATTTTCTTAAACACAAATTATACTTTTGTGGCTAATTTATTTTCGTTAATCGTAAAAACTTTAATACAAATAATGAAATACTGTGAAAACGCTGGTACATAAATATAATTATATATAGCTATAACATTGAGTATTCGGTAGGGAAGGGTACTGCATGCTATTTTATATAAGATAAGTAATCCCTGCTATGTTACTATATACTTTTATGCAATGTACATATGTAACTGTCTACAGTAGAAATGTAACAATTTTATTGTGATAAATAACACTTAAAAACTGTAAACGTACATGATTCAGCGCTACTCTAATTTAGGCGGATTTCGCGCTTAAAATATTGCGTTAGATTATAGCTGTGCTGACTTAAGTTGCTGTATCTGGTTCTCTATTAATATGTATAGTGCCGATTTATCATTGCACTTATCTGTTAATATTCAATAATATTTCTAATCTTTGAGTCCGCGAAAATAAGTTCTTTTACAGTGAACAATATTGACCTGACTTGCTAAACTGTTTCCATATTATATAAAGGATAATAGGAAAATATATCGATTTGTGAGCATTTTAAATTCGTACAGCTATATTTATACATACATGTATGTATATATTATGTAGTATTTTCAAAGCTATAAACCTCTCTCGGAGTTTTGCAATGTAGCTTCAGTCTAACAATTTTATGTTTAGAACAATATGTAATAACAGTTATTTTCTTGAGTTCTCAAGCGAAAGAAATCAGCGAGTTTCGACTCTTGGCGTCAAGGGCTACTAATTTTTGACGTACATTTGACTTGCCATGGAGAGGTAAAAGTTCATACTGCGTGTCAGTTAATGGGTTGACAGGTTCTATTCGATACACTAAATTGATATAAGAGTTGCAAATGTCTGTGCAAATATTGATTGGTTAGTCGGCAAATTTCAAAGACCGTTGTGGCGTGGCTTGCCAATTGAAATATTATAAACACTATTATAAGCATTTAAAAAATAATATATAATACACATATATTCTCGGGTATAAGTATTTCAATGAAAGTTTATATTAAAGATGACAGTGCAAGTTAAACACTGTTCAAATGATATTAAAGAGATGAAACTATGTTATATATACACGACCTCTTGTTACACACAATTCATTTGTGTCTGAATGAAAATAAAATCTTGGAAACTCTTGGAAATCTTGGTGAACGATTATGCACGCTTTATATTATACATGTATCAAGGTGTTTTATTTGCGTATTCATCTATGTTATTGGATAATTATTTTTTAACATTAGTTAGTCAAAACAGTATGTGTGTATTATTAAAACGTCGTTATATTTCTGAGTAAAAGTCCAAAGGCAATGTAATAAAGGTGTATAACTTAACCCAAACACAGACTTTTCAGTGTTAGTTGACGTAAAACGAAAACCGTGGAAAATATTTTATAAATCTAAATGCTAAAAATTAACCTGGCCCAGACCAGTTACACCCTAGAGAATGTGTGAAGATCGTGGATAAACTGATGTTATATACAATGTACATGTAATTAAGATTTTACAATGGGCCCCATTTACGTCCCACATCGGCACCTACAAAAACTTTGTCACGTAATTGGACAATTAACTGCAGTCATCACCTTAAATGTGTCACACCTGTCTGACTACAGACACTGTCTACCTGGGAAAGTTTTACTTACCTTCACTGCCTGTGAGTGATATCTGCTAGTCCGAAAACATCCACAAAAAAGTCAAATGTATGGTATTCTCATTCGAATATGTTCATCCCTTTATATTGTATCATCTTGTAAGAATACTTTTTTGTACTCAAATACACAAAATAAAATGTCTGTCGCTTTGTTGGAATGCCGAGGAATTGCAGTATTCTACAAGTGACTTTATAGTCCCTCTTAAGTCAATGATTAACTGTTAGCTCTATATTGTCAAGTACAAAAAGTTTGGCGCATTAACTCCTGGTTTTAATATTGACTCCCGAATAGTTCTCTCTAAAAATACTGTATTTAATCTCTATTCGAATAGGTTGCTGACTGTAACGTCACTGTACTGTCTCCAAATTCAACTATGTTCCTTCCTAATGAGTTACATGTACATATACTGCGTTACCTCCAATGTCGAACATCTCTCCTCAATTAAGTGATACTGGTTGACTTCTTGTTTGAATATCTGTCCTCAAGTATTTACAGTTGACCCCTCTTGTGAATATGTTCAGCAAGTGTAGGTTTTTTTTCAATCAAAATATTTTAACTTAGGAAAAAACTAAAACTCATCCAAACATTTTAAAAACACGGTCACCTCCATTTCCACAGGTGGTGACTTTTAACTATGATCTTAGCGAACCGTTCATGTGAAAGTATTGGTAACAACATGCGTCAGTGGAAATAAAGGCCTCCAAATATTTAAGTATAACATTTATTCCGAGTGGTGTATGTTATTGATAATTATTGAAGGAAATTAACCAATCGTAACCCACTGTACTATATATTAACCAAACATTGAACACAACAACAAAGGTTTTTAATAAATAGTCTGACGACATTGTGTTCATACACCATGATAATGGGTTAGGCTCGCTACATGATACCAGTCGAGTGTGAAGCAATTTTATTTTGTATATTTCATCGTTTCTACCAATATTACTTCGGATGTACGTTAAATGGTTTTAAATGACTTCCTATTAAACTAATGACGGTGGCAGTTAATTTCGTCACCAATAACAATTTACAAATTAAAAAAACAATTATCATCCAATCACGTGATTTTAGTTATTTGCATCGCCTGATTCTGCGAGTGCGTATTATTTTTCGGTTCATAAAATCGACAAACATCCGTCAGTTCGTTCATTGTAAATAGTAATATATGAGGTCTTTTTTAGTGACAAAGTTGCATTATGCCCAATAATTTTACTAATAATGTGACCTGGTTAGGACCAGAGCATTTATGTTTCGTAACAAAGGTTTTTTGTTCATGCATATAGTTATTTGATATAGTGGTTTCTTTTACTTAAATTTCTTATTTTAAACTTGTATATACTGTATAGGGCTGATGACTAATATAATTTCAAAATCTCCTTTTTGATGATGCCGCGACGATA